GATATTTATGGTCCGCTTAAGGCGCGCGGCATGTTTGTGGCCACGGAACGCACCGAGGGCGTCTCCACCTCGGACATTGTGGCGCGTATTGTTAAGGATTATGATTTGTATGTGCGTCGCAATCTGGCACGCGGCTATTCCGCCAAGGAGCTCAACGTATCCTTCCTATCCGAGAAGAAGTTCCGTTTGCAAAACAAAATGGATGAGCTCAAGTCGCGTGGCAAGCGCGAACTAACCAAAGTCAAGGGCGACATCATCACCAAATGGGAGGAAAAATCACGCGAATTCATTGACACATTTCTGCTGCTCTTCGGCCGCGAACGTCTGAATCATCTGTGGAACGAGTCCAAGGGCAAACTCATACAGGCGCTCAGCCCGCCCGGCAGCCCATCCGGCTCTGTCAACGGCGATGATTTGGATAACGATGGCAATGACTCCGACGAATTCTTGGAACTGCCCGCCGAATATAGTGGCGGCAGCACGAGCTCCCTGAATGGCAACAAGCAGCGGTACTCACTGGCACGGCCCAGCTATCAGAGTCGTTCGGCGGCTGCCTCCTCGCCGGATGACTACGATGATGACGATGATGCTGTCTACGATGCGGAGTTTGTCGAGCGGCGCAGCAATTGAATTAGTTGTAGTGTGTTGCAAGCACAAACAACCATTTTCATATTTGGCTAGTTTCACTTTCTCTCTTAAAGCTATTGTATATTTATTAAATTGTTTTTTCGTGCGATAATCCGGAGGCATATCATTTGTTGAGAAGCAGTGCCAACGTCGTCCTGTTGCCCACGCGTACACAATTTTCTATAAATGTATCTCTAAATGGTATTTTATAAAACGTTAGATTTAGTTGCAACTGCACTCGCTCCTCCTACCTGTTGCCACCAATCTGCGCTCTTTCTTATTGAAACCTGTAGCCAATTTTAGATTTAAAAAGAAAAGAATGGAGCCGCAGCTGCGAAAGCAAATCCTACACGATTTATACAACTAAACGGCATGGAAAACGCTGTGAAAGAAAACCAACGCAAGACTCATTTTTTGTATTAAGCCTTAAAGATTTTGCGTGAAGATAAACAATATAGAATTATTTATATTAAATTATTTCGCGTAAGTTAAAACACCAACATAAACACATGCATATGCATAATATATACAACAACTAAACACATTCGCAACAAGAAAATAAGTTGCAAAAATCAGTTTGCAAACGATAAAAACAAAATGCTTTGTTGAATATTTTTTTGAAAAATAAAATTTGGAATGAAAGCAAAATTGAACGGAATCTATATATGTTTTTTTAAATAAAACAATTCAACTTTTTGCCATGCTCGCTGCCTTTATTGGATTATGTATTGTATATATATATATTAATGCGAAATACATATGAATATGGTTTAATTAAATTATAAAGGTTTTATGGTTCAGAAAAAGTTATTTGTAATAACGTTGAAATAATCCCGCGACTTTGGCGCGCACTAACAAAAATTTCTTACTATAATGTATTAGATTGTGTTAATTGGATAATGCCAGGGATCAATGTCATCTGGGATTGATTTACGGAGCTCTGTTCATGCCCACAGCGAACAGGGGTACCATTTTCTTGCCCTTGGCCTTCTTCTGCTTTTTGCTGGCTACGGCATCCACTGGAGCAACATTCGATTTAACCGCACGCTGCTGCTTCTGCTGACCCAGGGCGCCCACAAGTAATTCGCCCAGCGACCAAGGTCCAACGGCACTCAGTTCATGATCCTCATCCAGTGTGGGACGACTGGCAACAGCAGCGGCTGCTCGGTTTACTGGTGGTGGCGGTGGCGCAGCGCGACCCCAGGCTCCCGCGTGGAACTCCGGTAAGCTATGACGCAAGCCCGAGGAGTTCCCGGGGGAGGAGCTGCCAATGGTGGGCCACAGCTCCTGTTTGGGACTTGCAGCCACACTGGAGTAACGAGGCCCGCTTGCCGGAGCAATGGTTATGGGTATAGCGCCTCGGGGTGCCGGCAAATCCTCCTCAAAGCCGCACTGCAATGATAACAAAATGGGATTAGGAACAACGAAATTAGGATGCAACAACGCAAAGACGCACAGTGGGAAACTCGTGGGTAGAGTTTAGATTCAAATTGGCTGCACTGGCAATAAGTTTGCCCATCTGGCGATCGTTGATCTCATTGATGTGCTGTTCACGTTTGCGTTCCTCGCGCTCACGACGCTGACGCTCCTTCTGGCGATGCAGTAGATCATCTGCAGGATTGAGAGAACTAGTTAGTTATGATTGGATGCGAATACTCTACGGCTCACTTACCCTTGAATAACTTGAGTATGCTGCCCGAAATAATTGGTGGCTGCAGCTCCACCTCGACAACGGCGAACTGACAGGTCAGAGGCAAATGGCCCAAGCACGTAAATTTGCGACGATGCTCCTCGTCCATGGAGTGATGCTCCTTCTGTATTATCTGCGCCTTAATCAGCACGGGTGCCAAATCTAAAGTGCCGTAGCATGCCTGCAGCATTTTCACGTTCAATGGATGCAAGTAAATGTTTTGCCCATCATTCGACTGATAGAAATAATAATATTTGTTGTTGTTGGTGCTGTTGATTGTGGAGCTGCTGCTGTTGCTCGCCTCGCCAAAGGATGAAACGGAGGCATCGTCTGGCTTGTCAATATCAATATCTGGGGTCTTAGCTTGTTGCTGCTCTTCTTCTACCATCTGCAGCTGAGGCTGCTGCGGCAGCTGTTGCTCCTCCGGCTCCAAGCCCAGTTTCTCGCAGCGCTCATTCAGTGTCAGCAGCGCCTGCTGTATGAAAATATCTTCTGGACAGGACACATCGGACTCTGCCAAAAGCTCACGGCGTTCACGTTCAATAATAGCCGCAATATCCGGCCGCTTGGCAATTAAAAACTTGGAGAAGTGTTTAGCCTCATCTGCGGCGCTCAACAACGGAAAACGCTCGTGCGGCTCTAGAGCAGCGGCGCCTGCGCCTGCATAGCGCTCAATATAAATGAAACCCTTGCGACGACGCATCAATTGAAAGCTGATGGTATCAGCCACATTCATGGCGTGCTGCTGCTCGATGGTGCAACTCTTCAAATCTGCAGCATGGATGGCATCATAGCAGATGGGACACTTGCGCCAGGTCTTGTCGCTCAGCGAGAGATAGTGCAGCAGACAGGGCCAGCAATAGGCGTGGCCGCAGCGGGTCAGTTTAGCAGCCACCGGCGGATAGAGGCAAATGGGACACTGCGGCTCCTCGGTGGTGTGTATATTGATCTGCTCGATTAGATTCCAATCGATCAGCGTGTCCGGCGAGCCATTTACTTGCGCCTTGGCGCTGCTGCGTATAACAAACTGAAAGTTGGCCTGCAAGAACTGCTCCTTGTTGTAACGTGGCTGACGGCGCGTCGACACAGCACCATGTCCGGTCGCATGCCAGTCTGATGAGGATGACGTCTCGCGCGGCACACAATGAAAGTTCAGCAGATGGTTCAGATTCTGCTTCTTGCTGCCGTGCGCATACACAGAGTTTAGCTCATAGTCAAGAACGCTACGCATGTAGCCTTCTCCCGCTGCTGCTAATCCGGCGCCGCCATAAGTGTTATCCGTACCGGCGCATGCAAGGCCATCGCCGTGGCCAGACTCTTGCCCATAACCGGAACTGCCACTGCCGCTGCCGCCGCCACCGCGGGCACGTGGACGCTTGTCCACATTGGGACGTAGTTTTGCCGGCTGCTGTTGTTGTTGTTGTTGTTGCTGCTGCTGTTGCTTGTTGCTGCGCTGTGGCTGCTCGTTGCGTGGTGTGGGAAGCTGTTCGCGACGTCGAGAATTGCGTGTTTTGTTGTTAACATATAAGTCTGCAGAAGAGATCGAAAGACAGAGAAGTGTTAATATGACCTATGAAAAACAGTCTGACTGCGCGTAGCAAACGTAAAAAAGTCCTAAGCTGTATAAAAAAAGAAAATCGGTTGACGAATTCAGGGTGCTCACCACTAGATTTGCGTTGAGCTTCAGCAGATGATTTGTTTGCACGTTGTTGTTGCTTCTTGTTGTTGTTTTCCATTGTAATTGTTATTTTTGGCTGCGCTGAGGCCGCAAAGCTCGTTGATAGGAAGGTTGAAAAAACTGGGAGGGGATTGTGCGTTGGCCGTTTGTTGCTGCCAATTGACAGCAAACTGCGTCTCGCGTTGACGTTTGTCTCCACACGGAGTGCGTTGCGCGATTATTTTTCGTTGAGGATTCATCTTTACTGAGCCATGATTATTAACAAATATACCCAGAAATAATACTTGCGTAATATTTCCAAAAGGTTATGCGAGTGGTTTTCGGTATAAATCGAAAATCGAAGCGTTGAAAAGTACTAGATTCAGTACTTGTGCTGTTCTTTTTCTCTATTCTCTAAAAGACTTTTTGCCTTTTGCTTTACTTTACGTTCGCTTTTTTGCCGTCCTCTTTTATTAATGTATTTGTTGTTGGTATTGGTGTGATGTCCAAAGGTGTGACGACTGCGTTTTTGCACTGCGTAAATTGTCGAATTTGTGGCTCTAATTTCACTTGTCAAATGTGCGCGCACAGACTTAAAATGATTACAAATTGTTGGGGAATATATTTTGTGTCGTGAAAGCAACTAATTTTGATATAAAAACCAAAAAATCCTCGGTTGGAAAAATCAGCATCCGTGCTGACCTATGAAAAACAGTGTGGCTGCGCGTGACAAACGTAAAAATGGTCTAAGCTAAATGAAATACCTGTGAATGGCAATACGACGATACACATGATAATGCAGTATTATTTAAGATTCTCGCAAAAATATGGCTAAGAAGCTACTAAAGAAACTGTAGAAATTAAAAATAAATACATGTTCATATTAATTCATACATTTATTTAAATAAGCATCCAATGCACAAGTATAGTAGTCAGAAGCGTATATATAAGTACCGTACATTTTGATTAATCAGCGTACTATTTTTCGGTACAAGCATTTATCGATATAATTTAGTATCGATAAGAGTTACGGCCGCCATTTTTTTTGTTACTACTACAATTGAAGTCGACTAGGCCGTGTTGCTGAGAGAAAATTCACATTTTCACATTGATAAACTATAGAAATTGTCAAAATAAATATAGCGTTTGACCTAAAAAAAACGAGCCCTTCTCTTTGTGCATTGGTCCCCAATAAGTTTGCATTGCGTTTTTATGGTTTGCCATTGGTGAGTAAAAGTTCATTGATAAAAGTACAAACATGCATGCATACGTATGGAAATATGTATGCATGTATGTACTAGTGCGACGACAAATACATTAGAAATCAGCGCCAGCAGCGGATACACCCAACTACAACGTTCTGCTCTGCACTTAATTAATTAACTTAAACCAGCTATTGGCTACGACGCCAGAGAAAGTGCACATCGCGTCACGCATCGATTGCAATTTTCGCAACACAGTTTGGCAACGCTATCGATTTATCCAGCCTGTACTTTTGGTCCTGTGTGCGTGCGTGAGACTGTGTTGTTTGTGTGTATACATTTAGGAATACGCTTGCATTCATACATAAATACATAAGTCTTAAAAATATAGTTGTAAGTTTAACAGTTTGATGTACGTATTTAGTATTTTAAGCCACGCGATCGAAATGTGTTCGGACGATTGGCGCCAAATGAGTTGGTGCGATAGCTGGGCACAACATTGAAATTATTTCCAGTTGCGTAAGCTGGCAATGGAGGCGGCTGCGGTGTTGGCGGGCCCCGATTGATGCCCAGACCATTGTTGCGCAGGCTGGGCGCCACATAAGGTCGCTGGCTGGTAGAAGCCCCAGCGCCAACACCTGCACTTGCACCACCCCCTCCACCTCCACCTGCACCTGAACCCAGAGACGGGGACTGGGGCTGCTGCTGCTGCTGGGGCACATTTGCCGGAAGATTATTACCCTGCGTCGGCTGTACAATTGGCGGCACTAGCGAGTTAACCGTGGCGAAGTTTGGCGGCTGCTGTGCCTGTGGCTGTTGCTGAGTCGGTGTGCTTGGCTGTATCTGCGTCCGCTTGGCCAGCGCTGGCGCCAAGTAGGGATGATTGGCGCCGCCGTTGGTGCCACTGCTGTTGCTCTGCGGTATATCGTAGCTGCGTCCCGACGGTGTCGTCACCTGAATGCTATTCGGCGGCGCCGGCACAGCGCACGGCTGTGGCTTGCTATAGTCATAGCCATTGGGCAGCACCTGCACATAGTTTTCAAAGAACTGGCTTACCGAGTGCATTGGCGTCGAGTAGTTGACATTGATGAGAGATTCGCGCGTGCGCAGTCGCTTGGCCGGCTCCTGTTCTTGTTCCTGCCTTTGTTGCTTCTGCTTCAGTGCCAGGGCTTGCAGGCGCAGTATGTTCGCCTGTTTGATGTGGGGCAGCAGCTCGGCATCGCCCTTGATCTTCTCCACGGTTGCCTCATCGCTGTCATTCGCATCCTCGGCATGCTCGCTGGTCGCCTTCGTTGTTGGCTGCGCCTTTGTTGTGCTCTCCGCAACTGTGGGCTTCTGCTCCTTTGTCTCCTTCTCGGCCGCCGGCGCGTTTGGCTTTTTGCCATTAACAAAATCAAAGAGCTCGTCTATATCTGGCACCTCGGGCAGTCCACCGTAGGAGTCAAAGTTATCGCGAAACGCATTCGCCCAATCCTCATCCTTGTGCAGCTCGGGATTGATGGTCAGCTTCACTTGCCTATTGCTCGCAGCACCCGATGAGCCCGACTCCCCGCCGCCGTTGCCGCCCACATTTTTGATCACTGTAATTGTCTTGACGCGCGTTCCTTCCTTGGAGTCAATGTTGGTCGCCGCATAGCTTAGACTCAGATCTCGTTTGGCCGGCTGGGTGCGCTCAAGGGCCTCGGCGCCCTGCGGCGGATATTTAATGCTGATTATGGTAGCGCCCTGGACGCCGACAAGCAATAGCAGCCCCAGTGCCGACATTGACTAGAAAATAAGTTTCAAAAGTGATTTTAGATTATTTTTTACTGTTTGCGCCCTTTAGTTTCGTTTTGGAATCGCATTCATGGTTAGTAAGGCCACTGAACGATTTTATCTTGAAAATAATTTATGCAAAAATTGTTAATCCAACATTAAAGTGTTGCATTCTTACGAACTATGACGGACTGAGACATCGCAGGATTTTGGGAATATTTCACATCATTTTTGCAGACATTTTTTCTTTAGAATTCTCACAAAAAATCTAGCTTCATATCTATTTGATTGTAATAAACATTGTTAACATCAAATTGATTGCTACTCAATAGTTTTAAGCTTCTAATCAAAGTCGGCAACATGTTTAATTATCACTCTTCATTATCTTGCATTGAGTTCCGTTCACATCTAACAGCTAGTTGAAAAGACCTGGCAATATTTTATTTTGTAGTCAGTAGCGGAAAATCCTTTTCGAGAGCAAATAGTTTTTAATAAAGAAACCCTAGAAGCTGTCTTTAAACAGAAATAATATTTAATATGTACCTTTGAACTAATTTGATTGCCTTATAATAAAGTATTTCCTGCAAATGGAATGACTTTCTGATAACCAAATAATCTTCGATGTTCTGCTTAAACTATATTGGTAATTTGTTTGTAATATAGCTTTAAGTTACAAAAGTTAAGGTTTTGCTTAATGTGAAGAGTCAGTTGGCTGTTTAAAAACTTTGTTTAAAACCGATTGTTTGAGATAATCGGAGGCGCAAGTAAATATATAATAACTTAAGACCAGTCGAAGATTTGGAAGCTTCGGAAATTAGCACGTTAAACAGGTTCCTATAATACATGCCCAAAGATCGTTCGATAGGCGCCTCACGCGATCTTTAATGCTATATATCTCTATATATATTTCGTATTAAGTGTTATAGTGGAGCACTCACAATTGATAATCTCATTTCTTTTGAATACTCAACGCACGCGACGACGACGACGACGACGATTGGCGACGATGACTATGACACGGTCAAATCTTTTGTGTAACTGCGGCCCAGATGGCCAACAATGGCTTTTTATATAGCCAAGCGGAAGGAGTTGGAGTTGTGGCTTCCTGTAATGTTTTGGCGTTAATCAGCTAAGCGCCAAAAACAAACACAAACAAACAAACAAATGTGGACGCAAATGAAACAGGCCGCGGCCACCGCCTCCTCCGACTCTGCTCCTGGACGCACACTTGGCGATCGGGCTGCTTATTTATATTTGTGCTGATAGTTGTCGTTGTTGTCGTTCGTTGCTGTTGCCGTTGTTGTTGCTGTTGCCACAAACTGTGGAACGGAGTGTGGCGGCAAATGTGAATCGAATTGTAGCTGCATAATCGCTTTCCAATTACGTTCAATCTGATCAACTGGTTTAGCGCGCATTTCTTTTTGGGCAGACAGTTTACGTTTTGGCCCCGACGCACCATTAACAGGTAATTGAGTGCGTCTAATGAGGAAATTGAAAAATGCTTAACGCTGTCGTCTGGCGCTCTCAGGTAGTTGTTGCTGCAGCAGGCTGGGAGCCTATAGGCTAGGGACACAGTAGCATCATAATAAGGTGTGCGCTGCATTTGCTGGCCAGTTCCTGGGGCGACCTTCATTTGGAGCGGGAAGGTCGCGCTGTCTCTGGGTAAGTGAAAGACGCAATTGTGGAAATCTTTCTAATTTCATTAACCAGTCACAACTTATGGCATCAACATGTCGCCTGCAAAAAAAAACTGGTCCTCTTATGCAACACGCCCCAAACAGTCGCCCGACTTGCCAAACAAAGTCACAGTCAGTTGAGAGAATCTGGCTCCTAATTAAACGCAGCTAAAACAACAAGTTGACAGAGATAAGATATTCAATAGAGCAAGTGGCATTTATTAGGGGGAAATGGTGTTCAATATGTGCTTAATGTTAGAAATCGAAAGAAACACACAAATATGTTGGATTTATTGGTAAGCTTGCGGCTCCAAATGTAACATTCTAAGAATTGTAGTCAAATTATGAGCATTCTAAGGATTGTAGCCAAAATAATGAGAATAGATAATAGTTCGTCAAAATAAGCCTTTAAAAGCCTTCTACCCCTATTTGCCTGATGCTTGTCTGCTAGAAATGAAATAATCACATGCTCTTAATATTTATTATAATATATGTATGTATGTGCCTTGCCGTCCAGTCTTTGAAATTTGAAAACAATTTGTTGTCTTGTAAGCCGAGCGCCGGATCGTGCCAGAATACCCAAAACATCAGTTTAGTATAGAAATTTCTTTATTGAAGGACTTTTAAAAGTCCTCAGACTAGTTAAAAATAAAGTGTTTTTTTACTTATATACGGAATATAATAAAAATACGTATTTCCTTGAAGATTTAAGAATAGAGATGGTCATAAAAGATCTGGAACGAATACAATGTTCACTTAATTCCAAAAACTTAAATCCTCATGTGGTTTGTACAGCTGTATCTAAAATTTCAAGGGATTTTCAGCTTTTGGCAATAATTTTTTAGTTTAGTCCCATTATTAATATAAAAGATTAAAAATATGTGTTTTTTTCGGTAAACGAAATTTTGGTAAGTTTAGCCTAAACTTATTTAGAATAAATAAATTATTATTTGAGCGAATATCTACTTTTAAAGTTGGTTGTTTTCGAACAAATTGAAACATTCAAAAGAGAATAGATAATTTTAAGTACCAGGGGCCGTATATAGAACATACGGTAAGCTAGCATAACTGTAATCATAATCATATCGCAAGGTCTTTAAATCAAAGATCTTATTGCAAAAGATGAAATAATTATTATTTATAACGTTTAACTTACATCCACATCTGGATAGTTGACTTTATTAAAACATCGTAAAAATATATATGCTATATATGTTGTATACCCTAACATAGAAGATATATATCTACGATATTTTTATACACTCGTAAATCAAAGTAAAGAAACTCAATTTTGAATCTAATGTTTCTATAGGAACAATATGATAAAGTAAGATAAGATAAGATGTTGCTCGTATACATATAAGGGGCCTATTTGGAGTTGAACTTTCTAGGAAATAAAGTTGAAGTTTTCCATGCTTGAGCTATCGATTTTTACGCAAGTTTCTTGGTATAGTTGGAAGATCCATATAGGGCGGATCATAGGTATTGCCTGAAGAAAAAAGACAGATTAATGGAACATAGCTTGAAAATTAACAGACTTTTTTTTACTTATATCCATATAAATGGTCGTCCTGATAAAGAATGAATATATATATTCCATCCTTAATCCATGACAATACTGTTATACCCACTGCTGATCCCATTACTGATTTTATATATACATATGCCTTACATATTAAGTGTTTAATCGGAATCGAATATAAATTGCCTAAAATATAATTTAGGATAATTTTCCAAATTGTTTAACTTGTAATCGCTTTGCCCGACCTTGTTTTACTATATGAATTGTAACTGCTTATATATTAGCATGAACAAATTTTGGTGGCATTTTCTCCTTAAGACTATGATTCTAATTTCAGATTTCCTGGAAACTGGCTGGGACTCGGCTAGCTGGTCATGGGACTGCCCAAATGAGGGAAACAAGTGTTTTAAGAGGCTGGCAAAAGCTTTTCAACTGATTTCAACGAGAGATCAGTGCAGCAGAAAAATAAAAAACCAACAAACAAATAACAAAACACAATAAGAAAAAAAAAGAGAAACTATAAAAAATAAACTGCCAAAAAAACAGTCTTGAATCAAGATGAGTGTCATTATTCGTTTGCAAAACCTGCCGTGGACGGCAAATGCCCGAGACATACGAAATTTCTTCACGGGCCTCTCGATACCGGAGGGCGGTGTTCACATAATCGGTGGCGAAATGGGCGACGCATTCATCGCTTTCAGGTAGTTAGCTAACTCTGATCTCTCTCACTCTATATATGTAAATGTTGTTGTAGCTATTCAAGCGGATCCGGCTAGGCAGATCTAGACACAGTCAAGTTGCACAACAGATCTGTAACATATATATACTTATATATATACAAGATATATTTATCAACTGTTATCCTTTATGTTTAAGCACTTGCCCTTATTTGTTGCTTCTCTTCTCTCTCGAACATCCAACAGCACCGACGAGGATGCACGCTGCGCCATGCTCAAGGATCGCGAGAAACTGATGGAGGTACAGGTGCGTTTGCTGCTCTCCTCGCGCGCCGAAATGCAAAAGGTCATCGAGACGGCGCGCAAAGTGAGCGTTGCTGCTGCTGCTTCCGCTGCCGCCGTTGCCGTTGCCGCTGCCACGCCCACATCAAAGTCAGGGGCGGCGGCGTCGGCGTCGGCGGTATCAATGCCGCCAGTGCCACAGCCGCCAATTATTGGCGGCCTGAACAGTTTTCTGCTTGGCCAGCAACAGCTCAAGCAGCAGCAGCAGCAGCTGACTCCGGCCGTGGCAGCGGCGGCGGCAGCGCTGGGAACTGTGGCCACGCCCTCATTTTTGGCATACCAGCAGCAGGCTGGCATTTCACTGGCCGATGTGGGCGGCCTCAAAGCTGAGAAGCCATCGTCGGAGCTGGCTCTATTTGGCGCACGACGCCGGCACAGCCGCAGTCGTAGTCGCAGCCGCTCCAGCAGCTCCGATGACAGCGATCGCAGTCACGATCGTGCGACACGCGATCGTGGACGCAAGCGTCGCTCCGAGCTGCGCGGCGACAGCAGCGAGCGTGAGCTCAAGATGCTGCCAAAGCCACAAGCGATGCCCATCGGTGCCGTGTCCAATCTGCTGCCCTGGGCACTGGGCGCCAGCGCTCCGCCAGCAGCAGCACCAGCTGCTGCTGCTCTTGCTCCGCCCGCAGTCAATTTGCCCGGCCTAAGCGCTATGCCGGGCCTGCCGAATATGCCCGGCCTGCAGCAGCAAATGGGCATTATGAGCGTGCTGCCGCCCGTGCTGCAGAGCTATAGCACCACCAGCAATGTCACCACCAACAACTACAATCTCAATCTGGCAGCTGCTCCACAGCAGCAGCAGCAACAACAACAGCAACAGCTCGCCATGATGGCTGATCTGGGGCAGCCCAAGAATCAGGTTGCGGCTGCGGCCCAGCAACAGTCGGAGCCAATTGCCTTTGCCAATGTCAATCCGTATGCCCAAATGTATCCGCAGCTGTTCCAGCAGCAACAGCAGCTCCTGCTGCAGCAGCAGACAGCCAAAACTGCGCCAGGCATGGCCAACTCACCCGGCTCACACGCTGCGGCAGCTGCTGGCGGCGGTTCGGGTGGTGTTGGCGGCAACAACAGTGGCGGCGGCGGCGTCAGTGGTGCGGCCGGCAGCTTGTCCGCTCCGATAGCCATTGCGGAGACGTGCTACATCAAGATAAGCGGCATGTGCCCCAGCACATCGTACAGTGATCTGCGCAAATACTTTGCCGGCCTCTATATACCGCACAATGGCATCAAGATCGTGAACGGAGCGAATGGCACACGGACGGGCATTGCCTATGTTGAGTTCTCGCGCGTGTCCAGCGCTCAGAAGGCGCTGCTGCGCAACAATACCATGTTCCGGGATCGGCTAGTACAAATTGTGCCCATTAGCGATGAGGAGTTCGAGCAGGCCGATGAGCGTGCCCAGCGCCACAGCGGCGGCGGCGGCGGAGGAGGTGCCAGTCGAGGCGATGAACGTGCTTCGTCAGTCGCTGCTGCAGTGCAGCAAACCAATGTGCTGTACGTGGAGGATTTGCCGCAGCTGACCACCGAGCAGGATATTATGAAAATGTTCTCTGCCACGTGCACCATTGTCGACATCCTGTTGGCGCCCAGTCCCAACAATCGTCGGGAATTCGTTGCCTTTGTGCTGTTCGCGCGCGAGAACGAGGCACGCTCCGCGCTGGAGGATGCCTCGCGGCATTACATTGGCTTTCGCAAGCTGCGCGTGCGCGCCAGTAGCCAGGCAGAGATGCTGAATGCCAGGGAAAAGATGCGGCGCGCCAGCGAGCAGTTGCAAAAGGAGGAGCAGCAGCAGCGCGAAGACGCTGAACGCGAGCAGGTGAGCAAACAACTACAGCTACAGCAGCAGCAGTTGCAGCTGCAACTCCAACAACAACAACAACTCCAACAACAACAACAACAGCTACAACAGCAACAAGTACCACCACAGGAGCTTCTAATGGCCATGGCCAAATTCAACAATGATCCACGTCGACGCAGTCATGAGCCGCAGCAGCAGCAGCAGCAACAACAACCAAATGCTCACACACACAACAACAACAACAGCAACAGCCATAACAATTTGCAACCGTTTGCCAACACTGCCATGCATAACGGTAACATGCCCTTTGCTTTTCAGCAGCAAAATAACGGTCCCAACAACAGCAACGGCATGAATATGATGAACAACAGCAACATGGGACCATTCGGTGGCGGCATGCCACCCAACAATCAACAGATGCAACAGCAACAACAACAACAGCAGCAGCTGCAGGGACATCCACGGCGTCAGGAGGACGTGTTTGTGCGCGTTCACAACTGCGAGTATGCGACTCGAATCAACGATCTGGGCGAGCTCTTTGTCTCGGAGAATCTGCGCATTGAGCACATTGAGATGCTGTTCAATGAGCGCAATCAGAGCGCCGGCGAGTTTATTGTGGAATTTGCCGATCCACTCAATGCCAAAATTGCCATCCGAGAGTTTCACAATCGTCGTTTTCGCGGGCGTGGCCTGCGCTTGACCACAATTACGCCGCAAGAGATTGCCGATCGCATGAACAAACCGTTTATGGACTATTTGCCCGGCGGCAATGGGCCGCGACAGGTGGACGCAGGCGATGCCTTGTCATCGCCCATACAGCAGCAGCAACCGCAACAGCAGCAGCAGCAACAACAATCATCGCGACGTCGCGGTGCAAGTCGCTTTGATGATGCCAGCAATCGTGGCGGCAACGGTGGCGGCGGCAATCAATCGCAGCTGGATAGCGACGATAGCAGCAATTCCAAGCAGCACTTTAATCCATTTGCCAAGCGTGCTGGCCCAGAGCTGGGTCTCGATGAGCTGGGTGGCAGTTCGCCCATGCTGAGCTCAAGCATTAAGGCAACCAGCAAGAATGGGGGCGGCAGCGATGGTGTCCCGGAAGATGATGGCATACCCGACAAGTTCAATCGCGCCGGCTGCGTGGTGGCCATGCGCAACGTACCCTTCAAGGCGGACCTGAAGGACATACTGCGTTTCTTTAACGATTACAAGCTCAGCCCAGATGATATAATACGTCGTTTCAATGATGACGGCAAGCCCACGGGCGATGCGCGCGTCGCCTTTGAATCACCCTCGGAGGCGCGCTCCGCCTTTGAGTCGAAACGGCGCAAGCAAATCTTCAATCGCACTGTCTATCTAGATATTATTTAAGCCTGGGTTCGAGAACTAAAATCGAATAATAAATGTAAATATATATTGTTAGGTTAGGTTAGACACCATGGCAAACAGGGTGATAAGCCAAAATGCAGATGGCACTATTGTCAAATGCCACCAAAGCTGTTAAATATCATTATTATTAAACGTTGTACATTAAAGCTTCAATAAATTACTATACATAACTGTATGATGAAGATACAATTAAAGTATTTATAGCATTAAAAATACTTAGGCGTAATTTTGCAGCTGTATCACCTGCGATTTTTTCAGCGATTCGCGGCACAGCGGACACTCGTCGCGCTCCTCCAGCCAATCGAGTATGCAGCTCCAGCAGAAGAGATGACCACAAGGCGTTAGGCTGGCGCTCTGACGCGGCTCCAGACATAGTATACACTGCGGCACATCGACTGCCGATGGCTTGGTGCTCGTCTCTCGCTGCAGGAAGCCTTTGGTCGCCTGTTTGAGTGCCTCCAGCTGCTGGCGTTTGTGCTCCTTCCACGCCTCCCAGCCGCCAATGGCCAGCGAGACGGTGACTTGCAGGAATGTGATAATGCCAAGAATTTTGTAGCCGTACAGCGAGAACTCTGGCTGCAGCCAGTGCCGGATAAGAACGTAGTTGATGCCCGTGACGCGCTTGGACACCTGATATTTGCCGGCATCCAAATAGAATAGTGACTTGTGCAGCGCCTTGATATAACTAGGAGACTGTCGCATGTGTTGTATCAGCTTCTGCAGCTTTTTCTTGGCGTCCGGCACAATTTCATCATGTTCAGCTATATGGAGCTCCAGCTTTTGCAGCACTCGGAGAAACAAGGCATCTCCACCGAATTCCAATATGATTGCAACCAGTTGCAGCTGCAGAAAGTACTTGAATAGGGGTTCAGCTATAGTTTTATTGATGTTCTTACCAAGCGGCTGGGAATATGTTTATACTTCCCGTCGACCTGTATAATGCCCGTGTACTCCTCACCCAGCGTTTGCAGATTGTTTAGCGAGGCAAAACCATGATAGCTCAGCTGCGCTATCAACTGACATAGTTGATTATATTTGATCCAGTTTCGAGGCCCTGTTAAACGCAAAATATCTGACAAATCCTCGGCCAGCTCGTTGGTGTAGCGTGCATCCTTTTGTACTGAGCGCACAATTTCCGGTTGCCGTGCCCGGGCGTTACGAAAGTCCATGTTGCTGGGAGTCTAGGCTGTGTTTACATTATTCAACCAGTAGTAGCGCTCTGCAACGGCAGTTCAAAGTTCAACACAGATAAGTAAACAAAATGTGTGTTTTGATTCCATGGCTAAATCTTGTACATATATCGATAATGCAATTGATAGCCCAGCAGTTTTGCAACACTGCTGATATCAATACAACAAAGTATCGATTCACAGCTGTTAGCCCTATCACATATATCGATATGGAAAATGACCATCCCTAAATGTGAAAAAATCATCGTCAGTATCGATAAAGTATCAACAATCCTGGTTCGCATGTTAGTGAATTGCCAAAAATTGCTGAAATTTGGTGTGCATTATATATAAAATTAGCACGTTAATAATTAACAAATAGAGCGCTGCTTTTAATTGTTGTATTTTGGCTGTGACGGTGTTTAATTTATCCCCTATTGAACAGCAGAGGAGCACGAACGTCTGTTCGCGTCGCAGCGACGAAGAAGAAAAAAAAATTAACCAGCAATTGTTGGAGCAAAAATAAACGGAATTTCGAGCTGTGAAAATTAAACGCAAAAGCAAATTGTGAAAAGTTGCACTTAAAAGAGGTAATTAAACTGCATTAACGTGTTCGTGTAGCAAAGTTTCTATAGTGTCTATGTGTGTAAAAGTTGATTTCCCTGAAATGGACGTGTTGCAAGTAAAATACCCATTTTTGATGACGAAATTTGATGAATGTGTGTGTGTGCGTGTTTTTATTTTCAACGACGTCGACGTTATTATTCGCATTTGATAAGCAGGTGTGAGTGAGCAAAATGCGTGTGTGTATGGGATTTGATAAGCAGCGCAGCGACAAGTCACCCCCCATCAGAAAGGTCGCATATGTTGGCATTTAAGCCTCGTATTTATTTACAGTGTGTGGCTAATATTTTGGACACACGTTCGAAAATCAATTTGACTGCTGAAGCAGAAGCCACACAAAGCAGATAGCTGCACCCCCCTGACCAAAAATGTAATTAGCACTGGCTGAAATTGTTGCTGGTTTTGATTTCGGCCCATACTCCTACAAATCTACATACACACACCCATACACACAAAAGTTGGCATTTTCTTCGCGTCTGTCAAAAACGCTTCCGCGCTGCGACTTCAATTGGCCCAGTGGAGACTTTTGCTTGTGGAGACCTTGCCTTGTGCCAATATAATAGCTCTGTATCTTTAGCAGACAGCAACTTGTTGTTGCTTTTTTTCTTCGCTTCTTCTTATACTTTGTATTTCTCTTTTTGCTATACTTTTTTTCTACTGTTATCGCAGATTTGTTTCAGTTCACACTTTTTGGGTTTCAGTGTCACAGAATTTATATATGATAATGCTTTGTTTAATAACAGATTTTTACTTGGGGAGAAAACAGTTCGCTTAACTTCAGGTTAAGTTTCCAGTTCCAGTGTGTATGTCTGAGTCATTTTTGTGTTATTTTTGTATTTAGCGTACTTTTTCTTTGTTTTCGAATAAACACGATAGCGTTCGCAGTAATACCGCAGTTGTTATATTCAAAATTCCACAATCGTTATGCATAGAGGCTTGCCTACGCTTGTAAAAAAAAGTTACAACTGCAAATTTCGATAATATTCAATGCTTTAGCCCACACTGATTTTGTAGAGATTTTGAGTTTACAAGTTTTGAACAGAGTAGAAATTGCATAGCGCAGATTTCTCCCTTTCCGCCTAACATAACTCATGAATTTTTCATTAAGTTTTACACGAAGCTCGATTCAATTTGATTTGAAACTCTCCATGCTGAATTTAAATTGAAATCTGTATCGTTTCCGACTGATTTCAGTTGAATGAACCGGCGCACCGAGCATATAAGTGTGCGTTTAATTTAAAATAAATGCCATAATGCATATATAATTGCCGATTTGCGTCGCCACTGAGCAGCTTCGCGTGTATACAGCCTGTTTGACACATGTTTATTGATTGGGGAACACAGCTGTATTTACCTACGTTGCATGTTTGGCCATAGATCTAGTATAGAATCGATATGGAGCCGTTAGAGTTGACCCTGAGCAGGAAAAATTTCACGCTAGAAACCCACGGAAAGTTATTGCGAGTCCATTTAATAATGTTGCTTTGCGTGTTAGTCGCTATGTTTACTATCATCATCACGATGATGATGATGATGATGATGATCTAATGCGTGCCTCTTCACTGCCCCACATTTTGCTGCTGACCCCATTTGGTGAGCATTGCAAGCTGTCTCTCACATTTACAATTGTGGCGTGTTGGAGCTGGAAAAAGTTTCGTGTGGATTGTCAAAAAATAAACAAAACGTAAACATATTGCTTGTGTGCCTAATCCTTATACTAACATTTTCTGTTTCATAATTTTCTAATCTAATTCTTGACTCTGTTTTATTGTGGCAGAATGAGCACAACGCCGGCCAGTCTCATCGAGGCGGCTTTAACTGTGAGCAGCGTCGCTGCCGCTGCTGCTGCTGCTGCTGCTGGCAACGCAACTGCTGCATCGACGACCCTGAAACCGAATACGAACTACGTTGTACAAATGAAAAGTCCGTCGAGCGTCGCACAGGAGCCATTGGATCCCCTCCTACATGTGGGCGATGGCATATTCCTGCAAACTAAGACCGCACAGGTGCTGGCAGGCGTGTTTGTCTGGGCGGCGCTGTTTGTCACGTGTCAACAGGTAGCAATTTATCATCGAAATATATCCACTTCACGATTAACTAATCGCATATCCATTTACAGATCTATCAGCATTTACGTTGGTATACCAATCCTCAAGAGCAGCGTTGGATAGTTCGCATACTGTTTATTGTGCCCATCTATGCCACCTACTCGTGGATTAGTTTGCTATTCTTCAACTCGGACAACGTTTACATTTACTTCTTCACGGTGCGCGATTGCTACGAAGGTGCGTTATGCTCATAATCTCTTTCTGGCCACAGTCTGCTTTAATCCTACTTCGTTTTTACAGCCTTTGTTATTTACAACTTTCTGTCGCTATGCTATGAATATCTTGGCGGCGAGGGTAACATCATGTCTGAGATACGCGGCAAGCCCATAAAGACCTCCTGTTTGTATGGCACATGCTGTCTCAAGGGCAAGACATACACTATTGGGTTTTTGCGCTTCTGTAAGCAGGCCACGTTGCAGTTCTGCTTGGTTAAACCGCTGGTGGCGTTTATCATCATCTTCTTGCAGGCCTTTGGACACTATCATGATGGCGATTGGAGGTTTGTTGTGTTTGATACCTAATCATCTAAATGTTTGCTTAATGTCTGCCGGTTCCTTTATAGCGCCGATGGTGGATACATTTACATAACCATCATCTACAACATTTCCGTATCGCTAGCATTGTATGGCCTATATCTGTTCTACTTTGCCACACGCGATCTGCTGACACCGTTTGAGCCCGTACTGAAGTTCTGCACCATCAAGTCTGTCATATTCTTGTCGTTCTGGCAGGGCGTGGGTCTGGCCATACTCGAGAAGGCGCAGGTCATATCGCCCATTGTGGACAGTGCTGGCACTGTCACCTCAGCGGGTACCGTTTCCGCTGGCTATCAGAACTTTTTCATATGCATTGAAATGCTGTTTGCAGCCATTGCGCTGCGCTATGCTTTCCCCTATCAGGTGAGTGAATTGCTTGTAAAATTTGACAGGTATTTATGTGCTTAAGATACAGTCGGGCGTCGGATAAGATAAGATCCAATTCGCTTTGCTTATCAACGAAATGTGCCACGCATGAATGACAGACTATAACAAACTACAAAGTTTCACAATCACAGCAAATGCTTTTACAATTTGACTATCTGTTGTTGTGGTTTATAGCTACAGTCATGCGAGTCATGTGACTCATGTGGTAGATTCCCTATTTGTTTATAATGTAGCTCTGATGAAGGTTCAATTTGTAAATAGTTATTCGATAAGCATGGGCATATCAGATAATAAACAATGTAGCAACATGTTAAACTATCTCATTATTCACACAGATTGCGAGGGGTGTTC